ACCACAGACCAGATGAGGGCGGCAGCCTAGCCAGCTCTGCTCTAAACCTCAGACAGGAATCTTCCTGGGGTTGCTTGTCTTTTCCTCCCTTTGTCATCCTATCCCAGTGGTAAGACTGGACAGCCTAGGTTGGCCTAGAGTCCAGAAGAAGAGGGCAATGAAGTCAGGCTGCCTGGCCACCTGTGTGCTGGGCCTGGGGCTCACTGGTCCAGAGAGTGCTAGAGATGTATGGGACAGGTGATCCAGCACAGCTCCCCAAGGTGAGAGGTTCCTTGAAATTTGGGGCTACCCGAGTAAACAGAGAATATATGAGCACTTGCCAAAGAGTTTTCTGTGTTTGATTACAGAAGGCAGATATATCTTAGCATTAAAGGGAGTCAGGTGGGTTGGGCTGTCTGAATAGGCTCTAAGGAGGTGGGGCTGGAGGTACACTTTCGGAGCACAGGTCTAGGATGTGGAGCAGAATCCAGATGGAACAAGCTAAGTGAAGGTCTTTGACCTGTGGTTCTGAGCAGAGAGCTTGCTGTAGCTGCTGGGACAGGGTATGCAGTTGTCCTCAGCCCGTGAGTAGGTCTTTTCCCAAAACGTCCTGAGGTGGTTGATGCAACACTGCCCATCCTGCAGGACCTGGACCACCAAGAAGCAGCAGCCTCCCTCTGCCCCTGAACAGTGACTGAGAAGGCAGGAAGCAGGCCAAGTTGAGGGCCCAAAGCACTGAACTGGCCAAGGAGGACAAGTATTCTGCCTCACCCTCCACAACTGTTGGGCCCAGAGGTGGATTTCTCAATTATCACAGAATGAAGCATATAATCTGCCGTTTTTGCTCTCTCTACTTTCTCTTCCCCAGTGTTCTGGGGATTGAATATAGAATTTTGCACTAAGCTATGTATCCTGCCTTTTTATTTTTTATTTTGAGACAGAGTCTCAGTCACCAGGGTGGGCTCAAACTTGCAATCATCCTACCTCAGCTTTCCAGAGTGCGGGGATTACTGGGATGCACAACCACACTGGGTTTCATCTCTACTTTTCACACACCTCCTCCCCAACTTTCAGCCTCTCCTTTTCTACCCAGTTGCCCCATACCCTTAGACTATCCTGCCATCTAATCTTCTCAAGATAAATCATCTGATAATTCCAAATGGTGAATGTGTTTATGACTAATGGTTTCCCCTTTCTGGGGATAACTCCTCAAAGACAGTGCCAGGAGACAAGGTTGGATCCAAAGAAATATGTCTTTAAGAAGATTCTGGAACACTGAAACTGAAATGTGCTTTCTTACCAGTAGCTTTCAGTACTTCTCTGCTTAATTCATTCTTTTATTCAATCAACGAGCATCCACTACATGACAAGTGTCATACTAGGTGCTGGGAACTCAAAGATGAAGAAGCACCAACACTGCTGAGGAAGAGATGAAAGAATCAATTCATAATGTGAATGTGGCAACTATCTTCAAACACCTTCGTCCCTGTTCAAAGCACCCACTTAAGTAGAAACATCTGCTGATTAAAAATCATTCCTATCTTGAAGAAAATGTTCAAATGGGTAAGAAAACAAGAAAGGGGGAGGGAGAAAGAAAGGAAGGGAAAAGAAAAAAGAGAATAGGAAGAAAAAATGGAAACAGAGCATTTGTAATAAGGAGGGGAAGAGGGGTTGAAGGAAAGGGAGGGTATAGGGAAAAAAAGAAGACTAGAGATATATTATGTATAGGTATAAATTCCCTATGATGGGCTGGGCATGGTGGTGGATGCCTGTAAACCCAGCACTCAGGAGGCTGAGGCAGGAGGGTCATTGTGCGTTTGAGGCCAGTCTGGGCTACAAAGTGAGCTCATGGCCAGCCTGAACTGCATAGCCAGACCCTGTCTCAAAAAAGACAAAAAAAAAAAATTTCCCTATGATGAATGTGATCATTATGTATATTTAAAATGTACTGATAAAATTAATTTTTTTTAAAAAAAGAATGTATGTACAAATGGTTAAGCAAGATGGAAAATAATAATAAATACATGTTTCTCAAAATAATAGTCAATAGACATGCTTTTAAAAACGCCATTCCTGGGGCTGGGGATATAGCTCAGTGGTGTAAGCGCTTGCCTGGCAAGCACAAGGTCCTGAGTTTGATTCCCGGTACCCCCAAAAAAATAAATAAATAAAAAATAAAAACGCCATTCCTTTCTACTTATTAAAACAGTTCCTATAAAGGTGCTTATTGAATAGTACTTTGTAGACATAGACTTGAACTTGATAAAGCTACATGTGACTATACATTTTATAACTCATACATTTTCCCATTGAGTTGGATATCCCTGCCAGTCCTATGTATGTCCGTGAGATAATCTGACCACAGCAGTTATGAGCACTATAGGGCTGATTTACTTTGTGGTTCCACTTGAAGTGCTCCAGACTGATCACTGGGACCAACTCCTTCTACATTTGTTTCCCACTTGAGCATGCAGTGCATAAATCATTTGACTTTCTTAGCCCCTCTGTTTGCTTGGGTTATATTTGGTATTATTCCGACTTCCCTTCCAACCCTATTAATAATATATGATAACAGGTTGTATCACACTTCAACATACCACACAACCATAGATAGCAAAATATGGCATGTGCTGAATTATTCAATAGGTGAATAATTCCATGGAGAGCATTCCATATCCAGACGTGCCGAGTTGTTAACTGGGATGATGCACATAGCATCCTCATTTGGTCCTTCCCCACCCCTGTAAATCTGTTGCCAGGAGCTGCCCAAGCCATTTTAAAGAAAGCACAACCTGCTCACTTACCAAGGTAAAAAAACTCTCCCACTTACAGTTCAGTTCTGATTACATTAACCATTATCTCCCACACATGGGAACTGACTATAGCACCATACTTCTACATATGTGGCTGATTTTAGGGTCAACTGGAAATTGAGACTTGAAATTGGAATTGTCCCAGAGAAATCTGGTATATGTGATCATGGCACTTTTTCTGTGACTAAGGGAGTTCTTAATCAAATTGTGATTCTCCAAAAAGATGTCAACTCAGCTGGTAGTGACATTGGATAAGGGCACTGAAATTCCAAAAGCAAACTGACAGAGGCCAGCAGTGCCACTGACCTGAGAGAGTCCAAATGACAGGAAAAGAGGGTGGCCTGAATCATCAAGACAGGAGCAGTGGAAAATTCGGAGGAAGGGAGATGAGACAGAGGAGAAATGAGAACCAAGAAAGGCAGATACAAAGAAAGGGAGAGAAGAACAGGTAGAATGAGAATGGAAGAAAGTGAAAGGCAATACTAAGGAAGGGAAAGGAGAAGATGGTGGCAGCAGCAGGAGTTAGGGACAGCACCCATGCCGTAGCTTCAGCTGCTGACAGGGCTGTCAAGAAACAATCTCCCAGGGTCCTGCTCACTCCAGCATTTTCTAGCCAAAGCCTCTCAAGTATCCATCTCTTCCACGACGCTCCCGAGTGAGGCAGGCACCAGCTCACTTACCTGGCCCACCTCCCATCTGGGAAGGCCAGGACTCCTGCAGCCCACGTACAGGAAGAACTGTGGTCCGACAGACTAGCATCAGACCTTTGAGTCCCTGTCAAGGCATGTAGCCATCTCCATCCCCTCAGGCCTGTCTACGGGCACCTGCTCTCCTGGTTTCTGAAATTATAGCCACATATTTACCTTTTCAAAGCATTGAATAAAAGCATACTTATGGGGGAAGGTTATGGCTTATATCTAGATATCCCCCAAAAGCCACATGCAGTCATAGATAGGGAGTTTCAAAGGTGGCTGGATTAGGGTGTGTGAATGTGGATTAAAGGTGTGATTCTGGAATTAAGAGGGTGGATAATGGAAACCCCATACCAGGTTTGGGTGACATCAATCAATAGACCTACATCTTGGGTGGAATATAAGAGGAGAGAGGAAAGGCAGGGCTGCTGCTGCTTGGTGCTGCTGCTTTTCTATATCCTGCCTGCTTGTCACGGACTATTTCTCCTCTGCAATGCCCCTCTGCCATGCCACCCAGCCTTGGAACCAGCTGACTACAGACTGAAGCCTCTACAAACTCTGAGCTAAATAAATCTTCCCTCCTTTAGCTTGTGAATAGAAATAAGAAAAGTAATTAAGATGGGGGAGATGTCCTCAAAAACACATAACTCCTCCACAGGGCCAACTTCATGTTTAAGCATCAAAATTAAGTATGAAGAGGCCCAAGCCTCTCTCCCCAAGGATCTGATGTAAGAGTTAACCCACACTTAGAAACACAATAGCTTTTAAAGAACCAAATAGCTCAGTCAGCCCCTGGAAACCCTGGTATTCCATATCCACACCCAGCTCCAAGCAGAGAAGGAATCTTGCCTTGTCTACAAAAATTCCTTATAATCTTTTCCTGTAAACTTTGCCCTGCCTGAGAATATTCCATTTTTACTCAGTGAATAAATATCACTGAATTCCTGCTTCTGAGTTTGCAGAGTTCCCTCAGTGACCAATTCTAGCTACAATAGATCAAGAGGGAAAAACCGTGTGAACCATACCAATGAACATCACATCTCAGCGCCATATTGATGGACACAGTTCTGCTCCAACCAAGAGCAGATTCACTCAGATCTCGGCAGTGGACTTCAAAGGAACAAGGGACCCCTGCCTGGCAGTCATCCCCAATGCAATCCCCACATATCCCTACTCATGCTTGCTGTTGATGTGCAAAATCTCTGTTGCAGAACACAGCCTGTGTTCCCATCCCCAAATGGAGAATTGAGACTCAGGTCTCCCACCCCATTCTGCCCCAGAAGGGGCCACTGAGTCCCTACTTTGTTGAGGTTGGGTCCTATCCCTCATCCTTCATATCTACTCACCCTTCAAGTTAAAAGGACACAGGCAGACCCCAAAATAGAGTGAGCTGTGAGCCACTGGGCAAAGCCACTCCTCCCCTGTGGGCAGCTCTGAGGGTGGGCAAAAGTGCAAGAACTATAGTGTACCCACAGGACAGGCTCCTCCCTCCCTGGCCATTTGCTGGGGTCTGTACCTGGAGCTGGAGTCACTGCTGCTCTGCACTGCTGGGTCACCGGTGACATTAAAGGGCCCCGTCCAATTGGCCAGCTGGTCATCACTCTGCCAACCAAACTGGAGGTCTCTGGCAAAAAAACGAGGCAGTGTCGGTACACATGCTCATTTGTTGGGTTACGCCTGTCTACCAGAGAGCCACATCCTGTCATTTGGCCAAGAGACACAGAGCCTTGATCATACACTGGATGGACAAAATAGTGATGACTCTCACCATGAGTGTGATGATGGTAAACCATTTTGATGGCACCTCTGCTCTCCTACATCCAACCTTTCACTTCATTTTTAGAGACAGGGTTAGGATCACACATTTTATATGCAGGAAAACTGAGGCTTAGTGAGATTAATGTCACAGGGCTTTTGTATCTCCTATATGGTGCTGTACCTCTATGGTGCATTGTATCTCCTACATGGTGCTGTACCTCTAGAGACTTAAACCATAAGAACTCTAGTCTCCAGCACTTTGACCTCCTTGGAGGTCAGATACTTTTCAAATATTTGAATGAAACTGTCAGTTTTCTGATGTATAAGGATACTATTCATAGTTTAAAATGATGGCTCAACACGTTTATGTCCGCTCCCTCTCCAAACCTGACAAAAATGGCAGCAAAGTAATAAAGAAAGACAAGAGCATGGAGAGAAGGTGACAGAAGGGGATAGCAACAACATTTTTGGAAGACAATATGCATATGGGTAATTGATTTAGGTCATAAAGAGTGGGATCCAAACAACCTACAAGAAGCACGTCTATTCACGGTGCACAATGCCCGAGAGGTTTGGGAATGCAAGTGTGGTGCGGCAAGGCAGAATAAAGGTCACAGGACTGTGGCAAGAGTACAGGAGCACTTAGACACCACCCTCCAAAGCATATACCTATATCCAGTCCAGATACCCATCCCAAACTCAAGCGGCCTAGCCACTGCACCTGCCCACTCCACAGATGGCAGCAGATTTGCTCCCTGGGGATGCTGGACCATAAAAGTTCTTCATTGTTGTCTTCACATGTGCATCCTCCACACTGAACACAGCTGTGACACCTGATGACCTGCTTACTGAATGTACCTGGGGTCTCCATGCTGGGACTGCCCATCCTGCCCATCCTAGGTCTAGCTAGGGAAACTGAAGTTCAAAGAAAATGGCTAGGAAGACAAGGGCTGGTACCCACTTGAATACTGTGCAATAGGCTTTCTCACCTGGCACTGTGGACACCTGGGACTGGAGGGCTCTTGTTGGGGGCCCATCCTGTGCACTGTAGGATGTTGTACAACATCCCCCGTATCTGCTACTAGATGTCAGCAGCACCAAACCCCAACCTCCTGCATGACAATCAAAAATATCTCCAGGCATTGCCAAATGTCCCCTGGGGGCAAATCACCTTGGCTGAGAACCTTTATCATACAATAATGCGCAGCAGAAGGAACTTTCTCATGACTGGCTGACCCTCAAACACAAATGGGCTACTAGATACCACTGGCGGGGGCGCGGGGGGTGAAGAAAGCTTGAACTTGAAAGTCAGAGAACAAAACAAATTTTAAAAAAAGAAACTCACATGGAAAGAGACATACAAATTTTATTAAACTTTTAATAATAAACAACCTCTCAGCTAGGGGAGTGACATAGCAGATGATTTGGGGAGCTGATCCATCCACATCTCCAATAATGAGTTGATTCCCTTCGTTGAGTCTCTGCTCCTCTCATGGCCTATCTTCTCATCTTTGAAGTAAGGGAACTGTCCCGGATGTCACCAATCTCCTTGACTGTAAGTGTCTCAGAGCTGAGCCATCCGTCTCTCTCATGTCTTGCCCGCTTCACATGTGGGCAGTGGCTCAGGTTCCCAGGCAGATCCTGGTGCTAGTGAAGAGATGTATACATGAGATGCTCAGCCCATGTTTTGCTGACTGGCTGCCGGTTCCTTTTTCATCTTCTCAAGTCTCCATAGTGGAGGGGAGTTTGGCCTGGCAGAGGAATGAAACTGGCAGAACATAACCTGAGACCAAGGCGAAATGCCCACCCAGTTCTCAGCATACACAGAAAACAGCCACACTCCACATTGGTCTGATTCAATAGTTATTCATTTATTTACTTATTGTGGTGGATAACTTTCAGTATTTAAGAGATCAGAGTGGTATTCCTTGGAGCATCTGGATTTGGTTTACTCAGAAGAGAAACCTTGGTGGAACTCTATGAACTGAGCTCCTTACACACGCAATCTTGATTTGTACCATAGCCCATGCATAAAGTCTCATTAACTGTATTTATACATCATGAAATATACAGCTCAAAGAGGTTTGGTGACTTTCTTAAGATCACAACAAGGCTAACAAGTGATCAAGCTAAGATTTAAACTTAGGACATTCTGATTCTGAAAAGTTTTATTCCTAAAGAAAAAAAAAAAAACAAAAAAAAAACCTACCTTTACACCCAAAACAAAAAGAGTAATTTCCACCAGAGATTTTGCAAATTAACTGCTTTGGAAACATATTCAAGTGAGTTTCAAGACCAATAGTTTATAGTTTATAAAACTCACAATCTCCTTAAAAATAACCTAGACAGTAAGAATTTTCTCCATTGAATGCACAAAAGGTCAGCTAGGCACGCTGCATTCTCCCACCCATGGGTGACAGTCTCTCACTGGGTAAGAAGACATTAATTACAATCTTTGAGCAAGAAATATGATGACATAGAAACATGCTCATTATAAATTAAATTTTTAAAAACAGATTATAAAAGAAGATATGCAGAAATTCTAATTTTATAAGGTTCTACATTGTAAAGCTGATCACCTTTATAGTTGGAATTAAAGCTTATTCTTTTTGCGGGGGTTAGCAGTGTTTTCTGATTCAACTAAAAATGACTGTGCCACTTCAGCATTCTTCCAGGAAGAAGACCACCAATACATTTGGGTCCTTGAACCTCCAGAAATGTGAGCTAAATACTCCTCTTTTCTTTACAGTTATTAGTCTCAGGTATTTCATTACAATGACACACACAGACTAATGTAACCCTTGACCTAAGGATATAAATAGCCCATAAAAGTAGACATATGAAGACTGACAAACATATAAAAGTTTGCATCTAATACTATACCATCTTAAATGCATTTAACTAAATGCTTACTTCCAGAAAAGACAATGAGGTGATTGGTGGATAAGATGAGAAGGAATATCTTTCCATTTACACATCCTTTGGTATGTTTTTAATCTTATGCATGTATCACCTTTTCCAAAAATAAACATGAGTACATTTTGGTGTGTGTTTAATCTCACTAGTAACCAAAAACATACAAATGAAAATAATACAATATTTTTAATCTATCAAATTGATAAAGTATATGTAATATTAACATTAGGCCTGGTTACTGCTATCACTTTTGGGGAAGAAAATTTAAAAATATGTATCAAGGTTTAATAATGTTTATAATTTTGATGCCCCTTCCAGGATCATATCCTCAGGAAATGATCAAAATCACAAAGAGGTTAAACCAGATAGACAATGTTTTGAACCTTTTGTTAACCAGGAAACCTTGTAAATACCCACAACTTGAAAAAAAAAAAAAAAAAAGGCTGGAGACTGGTGTTAAAACTGATGGGTGGCCATGTGGCCATAAAAATATCATATCTATGAAGAGGTTTTAAATGACATGGGGAAACTTAATTTCCTTCATCAAGCCTCAACCTCTAAAAGTTCCACCACCTTTCAATAATGTCACAGGCCAGGGGCCAAGCCTTCAAGACGTAGACCTTGGGGAACATTTCGGATCCAAACTATAATATGAAGTATGTGTCACAAATGTGTAACTATTTGAGGACTAGTTGATTATCTTGAGAAAATGTTTACATCAGATAGTTTACATCTTTTGACCATATAAAAGGATGAGATTTCTTTCTACAATCTTAGCAGATTGCCTATAATTAAAATCACATTGATTTAATGCTTCTTTGATAATAAAAGTATTCTTTTCTCTTGTTTTCTTCCTTTACAGAAGAAGAGGAGGAAGATGAAGAAAGGAAGCAAAGAGGAAAGGGAAGAAGCCACCCTTCAGTAGCTCTTTTGATATTGCCCAAACAGGAGGATGGCAATGATGATGACAGCTGATATTCGCACCCAAAAAAAGGGAGGGAGAGAGAAATAAAGCAGGGGTAGTTTTTTCACTCCAAGACTTAGGAGGTGGAACTTTCTTCTAACCATTGCCACTGAAACCCCCAAGAAGCCAGCAATCTGCTGCAAGGGTCACCTAGTCCCTTCTCCTTTTACCTCATCAGGAGAGCCCTAGCACAGGTAGAAGACAGGGACTCCAAGGATCAGCATCCAAAAGTGGCTGCAGTAGTCAAACTGAAAGCCCTTCCCAACTCAATCTTGGCCAAGACCAAAGCCAAATCCACGCATTTTCCCACGGTCAACCCAGTCTCAAGCCAGTGGGCTACCCAAGAATAGAGCAGTCACCTCCTGAGGAATCTCATCCTGGCCATGACAGAGCCACTCATTCTAGAAAAGTAATCTCTAAAGTTAAGTGTTGTCTTAGTTACTTTTCCTGTTACTGAGACAAAATATCCGAAGCCCAAAGTTAAGGAAAGAAAGGTTTATTTAGCTCAGTTTATAGAGGTTTTGGTCCATAATTGGCTGGCTCCAAGGCAGAGAGGCTTGGCAGAGGAGAACAGTTTATGGCGGGCAGAATGTAGCAAAGCAACAAGGGACCTTAACAGCATCTTCCTGCCATTTTTATATTGTATCTAGGTTGCTGGGATTAGGGTGGTGCTAAACCAATCAATGGACCGATTTAGTAATCATACACCTTTAATTCCAGCATCACACAGTCTAGATCCAACCACCTCTGAAAAAGCCCCACCTATGACCAAATGAGCCTTAAGGGGACATCTAGATCCAAATAATAACAAGTGTGGCCCCATAAAGGCCCTACTTTTCTTTGCTGAGCCCCCATCTCCATTCTCCTTGGACCTTTTGGCATGTAACATGTTCTGGCTAAAAAATCCAATAAAACTGCAACTGTGCGTTAATATCTTATGTTCCCACAGAGCCCTTCACTTCTACTAGGGAGCCAGCTCAAGACTG